AATATATTAAATTTATAAATGCATTTAAAGCATTTGAAGTGCTGAGCTACGGTTGTAAATAGGACCAAGCATTATTCAAAGGTTCCTCTAAAGTTATTGCTACAATCTGTTAGACTTATATAAAGAACAATAAAATGTGTAAGCTGAACTTAAAAGCCCCAAAAAAGTTTAAATTGTCTCTTAAATTGAATATTGATTCTAAAGACAAAATTATTAATTGTACTATTTATTAAATGATTACTAATGATTATACTTATTAAATATTATTTTTAAAGCCACATTTAAACCTATTAATATTTAAAGATTAAAAAAAAAAACACATTGAGGAGTTTCTCTGGTGGTCCAGTGGTTCAGAATCCACCTGCTGATGCAGGGGACATGGGTTCAATCCCTCGTCCAGGAAGATCCCACATGCCACAGGGCAACTAGGCCTGTGCACACAACTCCTGAAACCCGCACGCCCTAGAGCCTGTGCTCTGCAACGAGAAGCCACCATAATGAGAAGTCTGCACACCGCAACGAGAGAGGAGCCCCCACTTTCTGCAACTAGAGAAAGTCCTTGAACAGCAACAAAGACCCAGCACAGCCAAAACTAAATAATAAATAAATAAACAATTGAAATCTTTTCTACATAAGAAATCCTTTGTCCAGGTTCCCCCAACCCCCCACTCCCTACCCTATGAGGTTTTCTAGAAAGAGATTGAGAAGAGGAAGAGAGGCAGCTTTGAGTGGACATCAGGTTTAAAGGCCCCCGGGCCAGGCAGACTGGTCTCCTTGGACACTGAGACTGGTACCCACCTGCTGGCTGCAGCTCAGGCTTCTCAATGTCCTGAGCACACCACGAGGCTGGCCTTTCCTCCCTGAGACATCAGTAGAGGGGGCAGCAGAGGCAGTGGCAATCAGAGGCCCACGGAAATCTTGACATAAAGATTATCCCAGTGGGCCCAGTGGAATCACAAGGGTCTTAAGAGTGGACAAAAGCAGAATGGAGGCTGGCATGATGCAGCGTGAGAGGGACTCAACCCATGGTTGCGAGTTTAGTGTTGAAGATGAAGAGGCCACAAGCCAAGGAATATGGGTGGCCTCTGGAAGCTGGCAAATGTGAGAAAATTGGTTCTTCCCTTGGAGCCTCCAGAGGGGAACGCAGCCCTGCCAACACCTAGATCTTTAGCCTAGTGAGACCCAGGTCAGACTTCCAGCCTACAGAATGTGAGATCATAAATGCACGCTGCCTTGTTTTGGCTGCGGTAGGTCTTTGTTGCTGCGCATGAGCTTTCTCTAGTTGTGGTGAGCAGGGGCTACCCTTTGTTGCGCTGTGTGGGTCTCTCATTGTGGTGGCTTATCTGGTTTCGGAGCACAGGTTCTAGGCACGCGGGATCAGTAGCTGGGGAACACAGACAGTTGGCCCACAGCACGTGGGATCTTCCTGGACCAGGGATCTAACCAGGTCCCCTGCATTGCCAGGTGGATTCTTAATCACTGGACCACCAGGTAAGCCCAGCGAGCGCTCATTCGTGGTAATTTGTTATGGCATTGAGCGGGAACAAAAGCAGATTTTAAGGCTGATCCCAAATTTAGAATGACCTTCTCTAGCCATCTGGTCTACGGTCACCCACACATCAGCCATTAGTCACTGTATTGTGCCATTCTATTTCATTCAGTGTTGTTCATTACTTGAAATGCCTGTGTTCACCTGACTGCCCGCCTTCCCCCATTGGATGGTAAGCCCCAAGAGACGCAGGCACATGAGTTTTCTGTCCCATCACCTCATGCTTAGCACCCACAAGTGCCTACAATGCAGTGGCAGTTCCACAAATATTTGGTGGGAAGATGAGTGGCTGAATGAGTGAATACAGGTCGTGCACCAGTGATGTGAAATCTACCGAGACAGACCTCTCAGCATTCTTAGTTCACTGTTCCAGTCTCTGAAGGCTCATTGAAAAGTGTGACTACTGTCCTTGACCTCCTCCAGGATTTTCAATCAGTTCAGGACACACCTCTTTGAAGTCTCTTACAAAGGCTCCGTCCAGGTCAAACACTCAGGAAAGAGACCAAGCTGGCTTCAGAAGAGACCTTGCCTTTGCAGACTCTGTTTGGTGTTTTCCAAGCTCCTCGGCAGATGGGCTGTTCCTCCAGGAAATGACTTGCCAGATGAGGATGGCAAGCAAAGCCCAAGGGAGACCGGCTGAGGTCAAGCTGCTGCCTAACCCAGGGACGGAGGCAACAGGAAAAGGGACCGAGCAGCCGAGAAGGCGGGTTCCTCACGCCGGGAGTGTGCAGACAGGATGCAGAGGTCTAACGGACATGCTCAGACTCAGAATTTGCAAATGGACGCACGTGCAAATTCAATCAAGACACACAGCCCGGGAACAGAGTAACGTACAAAATGATGTTTATTGAATCCGTTTTGGAAACAGACAGCATGAAAGGTTTTTGGTTTCTGAGCTCACTACGACTTTAAGAGTCGTGATTGTTTCCTGTCATTAAACCTCAGTCACAGAAAGATCCTAGCTTAAATAATGAAAACGAACCTTCCTCTCATGAAGGGGGGAACAGTGGTTAAAAGCACTACAGCTGTTGCTCTTGCAATAGCTCTGATGGCCTGAATGCTCATAAACATCAACAGTTTTTCTATGCACAGTGTGAAGTATTTACTGTATAAATATCAGGTGTGGACATCAAAGGTACAGTTGTGAACTAGCTAACATCCATTAGCAATTAAGTACACTAAGTGCTTACACATTTAACTGATGACTGCTGTCCTCATCAGGGGCATTTAGTATATGGAAAAAGCATTTAAAAAACATATATATCATTCATGCTGTAAACTAAAAAAGCAAACCCAACCATAATTCATTACTTTGCTGGGATCAGTAAAGACTAGTCCCGAGTGCTAAGTATGCCAATAAGGACAGAAGTCATCGGTTAAAGAAATCATCATATGTTACCTACTGATATTCCATTTGCTAATGCATGTTAATGAATGTGTGGACTTTACCCAACACATCCACAGATTATTTTTTGTTTGAAATTCTCAGACGGTCTCCTTTGTGTATGTTTTCTTCCATCACTCTCTTAGAAGGATGTAAACGAAACAACTTTTTAAACAAAATTTCCAAGTCAGAAGCCATCAAAAGCACGACTCTGGTCATATTTCAAATCTTCACCCAGCAGGGAAATACCATCAAGGATGAGATGAGCTTAGAAGGTCTCTTCCTCTGCTGGTAGCTTAGACTGTCCTCATCCTCCCTCCTGCTGTATTGGAAGCCAAGCTGGCTCACAGCTCTGACATTTCATAAACAAAGTTTCCAAAGACTAACAGGATACCTAGAAGGTGCCAGAAGTGTTCAGGGCTTTCTCTTTTTTTTTTCTGGAGTTGTTATCAGAGGGCCAGCAGACAAATACAAAAAGAACAGTGAGGTAAAAGGAGATAAAAAGCCCAGACCTGGATGGAAGGAGCAGTGTTGAGAAGATATTATATGACTCAGATGGTAAAGAATCTGCTTGCAATGCCAGAGACCTAGGTTCAACCCCTGGGTTGGGTAGATCCCCTGGAGAAGGGAATGGCTACCCACTCCAATACTTTTGCCTGGAGAATTCCATTGTCAGAGCCTGGTGGGCTACAGTCCATGGGGTTGCCAAGAGTCGGACGTGACTGAGTGACTAACGCTTTCACTTCTTATACATAAATAGTACCAAAGCCTGCAGACCCAAAGAACATTTCCAGACCCTGAAGGTTAGACATTCCAGGCACTTCTAGGCACTACTTTAATCACAGGGAATGAACAACTCCTCCAAAAGGTCTTGCCCACATCACCCCTGGCTCCCCCCACTATAGAGTACTGAGACATCTCATTTGCTCGAGCCCTCTGCTCCCGAGGCATGCTGAGTCTCCTCACTGCAATCCAACTTTTCCTATAAACCATGACACTCACAAACACAGGCCTTAACTGCACTCAAATCCAGCTGTTTCCAGAACTCTGCAGCCTCGGGGCCCTACCTACCACGGATTGCTTTCACCCTGAACCACTCCTAATCTCCTTTCTTAGGGGGTTTACTATTTTTCTGTGTGAAGACCCACCCCCATGGGAAATGAGTGGTGCAAGATCTACGTGCAAATATTTGCAAGCAATTTTATTTTTGAAACGATGTACATTAAAAAAAAAAAATTCAAGTCAAATCCAGGAACAGATTAGTTGGTTGGGATTGGCTGGCCCCTCCCCCATAATAGCAAAGGGGTCAGTATCTGAAATGAAAGAGGGAGAAAGGCACCAGCTATTCCACCAGGAAGGTTAGTTCCTTGAGCTGGGGAGAAAGCCTTGCGAAGGGAATGCTAAGGCTTAATTAAAGATGGGGCTCCTCCAGCTGTGTGGCCCTCCTGGGCCAAAAGCCAAAGACAGCATAAAGGGTCTGGATATAGGTGAGGAAGAACCCTCGTTTGCCAGTAATTCTGCAACTTAAATGAAAGATGCATTCCTGGTCAGGCTTGGGAGGGGCTGCAGTCTACTTTTACTCCACACGAGACAGTGACAAGAGGTACCTCTCTTTTCACCCATCAACCTTTTGTATCATGAGGACTCAAGGGGAACTCCACATGCCAACACATCCTTGCCAGCTTTGTGTGTGGTTCGGATGACCTCCAGCTATTAGAACGCCAGGGGGGCTGCGATATACAGTCAGGAGGACCAGACAGTCCACTATCTGAGAGTAAAGGCCCAGAGAGGAAGATCTGCGTTGAGTCAAGCAGGGAAGCTGAATCAGACAGAGGGCAGACATCGGGCAGTTAGATCTGTGTGGCCGCGAAGAGGGGATCAGCATCCTGAAAATGGAAAAACTTACGACAGGAATTTCCCCTAGGGCACTCAGATTAACCTGTATCCATCCGAAAAGGCAGAAGGTGGCATTGCCCAGCGGAAGCGCTCCCCTCCGCGATCCTAGGGGATGCAGCCGCCCTCATCCTGGTTGCCAGGCAGGAGCTGGGAGTGCTGGGAGACGGGGTTTCAGCTGAGGGAAGCACAGTTCAGCTCCGAGTCCTCCTGGCTGCCTGTGGCCCCCTGCTCTGGCTCGTCGGGGCCGTCGGTGATGTTGGGCTCACTGGAGCACTGCCGGTGGGGCGGCGGGAAGCTGGGTGGCAGCAGCAGGCACTTGTCCTCGCCGCCAGACTCCTCCCCTAAGCCTGAGTGCATCATGGTGGCCATGGCCAGCAGCTGGATGTCCGAGTGGGCATTGGCCACTGTGTGTCGCCGGACGCTGCCACACTTCTCTAGGTAGGCCTCCCCCTCTTGCTCCGTCAGCGGGGTCAGGGCCATCTCGTTCAGGGGCCGGCTGATGGGGGTTATTGGGGAGGCGTAGTTCAGGAGCGTGACCTTGGGCCGGACCCTGGAGTGGCGCCTGGCTGCAAGAGAAAGATCAGCAAAGGCTGTGATCTGGTGGGGGTGGTGGGGGTCAAAAACTCCTAAAGAATTTGGGGGAAGAGGGAAGTGGCAGGAACGGCTTTAGATGAAGCCCTGAAGCGCAAGGGAAGAACTTCGCTACATCTGTTTCTCTTGTAACTTCACTTTGTTCATGCCTGATCCTGCCTATGGCCAACATGCCCTCCCATAGCAGGGGTACCAATGGACGTTCTATGATGGATCAAGGAGCTCCAAGGGTGTCTCCTCACATTTGCAGCTGCTGCCTCAGCTTCCTTGGATATGCCCTCAATTCCCTTCTAACCAGTCACATCTGAAGACCTGAGCACTGGCTGGACCAGCTGCCCAGAGGTGCTCTGGGCTCCATTCAGCATGATGGGCCCTCTGCAGTGTCAACAGGGGAAGTGGAAAAGACCTCATAACCTCAAGTCCTGAGGAACAGCTAATTCGGCGGGACCTTGGCTATCAAAGCAAAGGCAGTGGGACATCCTCTGGATCGTCACGGACCAGAACCACCAACAATCCCAGCAGGTTGATGATCTGAGGCCTGCATTCTGTTCAAGTCGATACTCTGGATTCAACCAGCCTTTCGCATCACCAAAGAAGGGGTGAGGCTCTGTCGATGGCCCATGGAGGCAGGCAGAGAGCACTGGACATGAATTATTAAAAAAAACTGCTGCTTCTCAAATTCTCACATTTTGGAAACTATGCTCAACCTTGACATGTGTTCACCTTTTGAATTCTCTTAAAAGTTGAACCTAAGTTATGATCATTTTTCATAGTTAAAGTGGGAGATAATATGAGCATCAAAGAGATAGGAAATGGCCTATGCTGACACAGCTAGAATGTAGAAGAGCTGGGATGCTAGAACGTAGAAGAGCTGGGATGCTAGAAAATAGAAGAACTGGGATGCTAGAATGTAGAAGAGCTAGGATGCTAGAACGTAGAAGCACTGGGATGCTAGAACGTAGAAGCGCTGGGATGCTAGAACGTAGAAGTGCTGGGATGCTAGAATGTAGAAGAGCTGGGATGCTAGAACGTAGAAGAGCTGGGATGCTAGAATGTAGAAGAGCTGGGATGCTAGAACGTAGAAGCACTGGGATGCTAGAACGTAGAAGAGCTGGGATGCTAGAACGAAGAAGATCTGGGATGCTAGAACGTAGAAGCACTGGGATGCTAGAACGTAGAAGCACTGGGATGCTAGAACGTAGAAGAGCTGGGATGCTAGAACGAAGAAGATCTGGGATACTAGAACGTAGAAGCACTGGGATGCTAGAATGTAGAAGAGCTGGGATGCAAACAAGGGCCACCTCACTCCAGACTTGCATCCCCAAGGCCCCAGGAAAGCCTCCTCCATAGGCACCAGCCTCCTATCCCACTGAGGCACCATGTTAGCATCATGAATTGGATGAAAGACCCCAGCGAGGCAGAGGAGGAGGGGACAGAGGGCTGAGGAGTGGTGGGGTCCAGTCAAAGCCTTTTTCCCTTCTGCCCTCTTCCAGCCAGTGCACACCCCCCAGCCTTCCAGCTGTCCAACCCATTGGCACCTGTCACTGCTTTCCCCAGCTCCCCCCATCCCTCAGACCTGGAAGACTCCTAACACATGCCTCTCACAGCAGAGGATTCCAGGAGGATAAATGAGGGAGGCCTGGCCTCGCTGGCGCTCCCTCCACCCCTGACAGGATAACTAAGGGTGGAGGGGGGGACCTGGTCTCTAAAGGGAGAGAAGACGGCACTCACCAGTCACAGACTGGCCTTGGGTCACTCAGCCCATGCTGCTCTAGTTTACTGTTGGCTCTTCCCATGGATCTGGAGGCCCTGAAACATGCAGTCATCACCTGCAAAGCTCATGCGCCTTGATGGGCATTGTAGTGAGGGTGCCATGCTTATCTGCAAAGTTCTCAGCAGGTCCCATCACTGGATGGTCTTATATGTCCATACATGCACATATGCATATGCACATAAGGGCTTCCCTCGTGGCTCAGCTGGTAAAGAATCCGCCTGCAGTGCGGGAGACCTGGGTTCGATCCCTGGGTTGAGAAGATCCCCTGGAGAAGGGAAAGGCTACCCACTCCAGTATTCTGGCTTAGAGAATTCCATGGACTGTATAGTCCATGGGGTTGCAAAGAGTCAGACACAACTTTTCATATCCACATATGTGTATACACACGTGTGACTATATACACATACACAAATACGTATATACAATGACAAGAGAATAAAATACTAACCCTTAGGACTAAGTCACCATGACTACTAGCTTGGAGCCCCTAGGAGCTGTCTGGTGGTAACAGCAATTATTTCTCAGAACCAGGTAATAATACATAGAATTTAGAGCTTACTGAGTGTCTTCCCATCCATTATCTTACTGTTGAGTCCCTCTGAAACACTAGGACATCTCTCATCATCCCCATTGTTCAGATAAGGAAGACTGAGGCTTAGCCCAATCCTGTGAAGCCCTAATTGGCAGTGCCCAGACATTCCCTACTACACGCTGCTGTGTCTCACGCCTCCGTCACCGCCCTTGGGCCAGCCCACTCTCTGAACTCAGACAGCGGCAAACACTGCCTCCAGCAGTGCCAGATAAGAGGCTGGATCCTCACGCCCTTCTTTGGGGGAAAAATGATATAGGAGACAAAACGCCAAGGAGCCAACAGGACAGACAGAGAATCTATGCCAGACGTCGGCAGCGGTCCTCTCTGAAGCATGGGTGCCTCTACGCGCCAAGTCTCACATTTCTAAAATGTCCCCACATTTTTACAATAACCATGTATTACTTTTATGATCACAAAAATCTATAACTATAAAACAGAAGCACCGGAAGAGTTCAAAGAAGCAGGGACCCCATTAAAGAACCATCCTGTAAAAAAAGTGCCCTTGAAAACAATTCATCTTCTCTCCTGCTGCTGTTAAAAGCAAACACTCGAGGTTAGCAATTGGAAAACCAGGTGGTGGCGGCCCTACAACCAGCCTAGCAGGAAACTGGACTGGACAGTGAGTGTTTACTACGTGCAAATCGAGGAAGAGGAAAAATCTAGAACAAAGCCTGGGCTCAGGACGTAGGATGAGGTCTGGGGGAGAGATGTGGATGGACACACAGCATCTCTGGAGGAGAGAATTCCTTGGATGGTTTCCATAGTCCCCAACCAGGCAGAATGAACTAGCAAGCTGTCTCACGTGGGTGCCTGGACGTCGTCCATCTCTCTCACACTGACAGCCCAGCAGCCTAAACGTTCTGGATGGTTCAGCTTGGGCTTTTGCAGAGAGATGGAGCCAGAGGGAGGGTGGCCAGCCTGGAGGAGGGAGTCCCCATGATGCCCACTCCCTTTCAACAAACGTCTTGAGCTTTGTGCAAAACGTTGTGTTCACTACAGAGAGCAAAGAGGAGCTTAAATCTGATATGAGGCCCCACACAGGGGCTGGAGCACGGTGGTGGAGGGGAGGTGTGGAAGTTTCAGGAGCAATCATGAGTTGAGCATCTACTCTGCACTGTATCCAAACAGGAGAGGCCTCACTGACATGATCTCCTTCTGATTGCTTTGCAGAAAAGGAAGCTGAGGTTGAGATGCTAAGTCATTTTACAGTCATGGTTAGTGATGAAACTGGGATTCAAGCCCAGGGCTGATAGCAGAACCCCTGCTCCTGACCTTCCAGAAGCCGGCACACACATCTGTGCCAAAACCAGGTCAACGCAGCAAATGTCAGGGCAGGGTTACAAGGGAGAGCAGGCTGGGGAATCAGAGGAGGAGGAGTTATGAAGAGGGGTCTTCTCGATGGGCCTGGTCCTTTGAGGGTCAGACAGACTGCCTGGCTGTCTGTTCATTCGTTCCCTCCCTTGGAGGAGAGGTCTACGCCATGCCTGGCCTACAGGGGAGCCACATGCAATGAGTCTAAGGGGGAGACCGACAATAATCAGGCTGTGACTAACACAGCATGGTATTGCCTGGGATGTGGTTTGGGGTCCGTAGAAGGGAAGGGGAGGCACACACAACTCCTCACCTGGGGTGATTCCACAGGCCCCAGACCATCCTATCTGGGCCCGTAATACAGCTGCTGGCAACTCTGCCGGGGCCCTGCCCAGCGACAGGGCAGCCTCTTTCTCCTCTGTGTTCAGCCCTCCGCAGCTCAGAGACGTTGAGTAACTTACTCCAGGGCACACAGCTGAAGCCCACCCTGGTGGTTTCCGCAGCCCTGCTCCCTCTGCGGCCAGCCCCGCCTCTCTTCTTAGGACAGTTCCCTGCCGCTGACCCGGAGGCCGCCAGCTCCTCCTGCTGCCTTCTGGGCACAATGTTCCGGCTCCCAAGCCTGGGTGTGGACACAGCAGAGACCACAGGGGCGGCTGGGCAGCGTGAGTTCCCTGGGCAGACAGTGTGTGCTTGCAAAGCTCCCCAGAACATTCGGGGCCGCCTCCCAGAGAAGAGACCACAGGGGCCTCTTGGGAGGCCTTTAAACTGCATAGTCGGCTTGGAGATAGTCAGCTCGCCACACTGGCTGCTTGCCCTCTTTGCCTTCTTTTTCTTATTTGCATCAGGGAAAGCTGGGCCCTGCCGTCCAGAGCAGGAAGTCTCCACAGGGGGTTGGCTGAGCTGTGGGTCTCCCCCTGGTGCCTAAAAGCTGGCCCCTCCCTGGTGAGGGGGCCCACGGAGAAGCAGCAAGAGGGCGGGGCCCTGCCACCTCCTGGCCTTCTGTGTTTGCTCCTGCCTCACTTCCCCCTGGCATTCGTCCCCCTGCTCTGAAGCCAGCCCTGGCAGCTCCTTTCAAACCCCCAGAGAGAAGCAAAGCCCAGAGGAGGCGGTTCTTTGTTAGGGACTCCGTTCCCAGGCCTTTGATCTCCCAGGCTTTCGGCCGGGCCCCGCCGGAGTGGCCCCCGTCAGGCGGGTGTTGCAACCCCTGCCCACCAGATCCATGGTGGGCGTCTCTCTTTAGGACCTGGCACCTGAAAGTCCATGAATGCTGACTGGTCGTGAGGACCTGTTACTGGGGGCAAAGGACCCTCCCCCTGGAGACACAATGGAGAGAGATGAGTGGGAGGCCCGGGCCTTTGTGCGGGAGAAACTAGCGCTAACTGAGCCAGGCCTGGAAACCTGGGAAACTGGAAAGGTAGAAATGTGGGCCTGGCCTCTGACAAATCGGCCTGTTTGTTGTTTTTTTTTGAAAGATTTCATTATTTTCCTCCTCACCCACGACTCCTTCGGCCCAAGAAAAGTGACACTTTTGGAAGGAAGGACACACACGCTCACTCCATCACGTCCTGGGCCTCATTTTTTTCTCTCTGAAGCAAGCCCTGCATATCCATGGGGTGAGGCTTAACTCTCAGACCCACTGGCCTGACCGGCAGGAAGGGAGTCCACCCGTGAGTCCCCAGCTCAACCTGCCTGAGCCCGTGAGCACAGGTGGGGAGCCCCTAGGCGGCCACTTCTCCGGCTCGGGTCACCTACCCCGCGTGGTGACCCTGGGGACAATTCTTACCAATGCAGAGTCTGAGGTCACGACGGCGTGCATCCCCAGAATCTGCCCAGTGCTTGCTCAGGGCCTGGAAGGTGACAGGCGCTTTGAGATGCCGGACCCAGCTGCCCCTTACCCCTCCCACCGTCAGGCCCAGAGGGGATGTGGGAAAGGCCTCCCGAGATTTCTCATGTCCACTGCCTCGGCCCAGTCTCTCTCTACCTCAGCCGGCTGTCACGACAGGCAGCCACCTCTTCCACAGACAGGAGAGAAGCCTCTGTTCACCTGAGGGAAGACTGAGCCCCAGAGAGTCCTCTCTTTATCTAGAAAGGGGCGTCCTCCATAAGGAAGGGCGCCGTGGTGGCCATTTTAGCTTCTGGTGTCCAGGGGTTGGATGACGTCCTGGCCCCGGATACCTCTGGCACTAAGGACCGCGTGGACAAGGAATGCCGCCTGCCATACCACTAAACAAAGGATGCCCTGGCCACCAAGCCAGCAGCCACTCTGGACTGTGTGCCCTCGGGGGAATCAGGATGGAGAAGAGCAGGATGCCAGGCCTAGACGTTAGGGTGCGCATCAAAGGACTCTGGGATCGACGTGTGCACGCTGCTATATTCCAAATGGATAACCAACAAGGACCTACTGTATAGCATAGGAACTCTGCTCAAGGTTATGTGGCAGCCTGGATGGGAGGGGAGATTGGGGGAGGATGGATACATGTGTATGTTTGGCTGAGTTCCTTTGCCGTTCACCTGGAACTATCACAACATTGTTAATTGGCTATACTCCAATATAAAATATACTCCAATATAAAAGTTTTTTTAAAAAAGGCGTGATTTCAATGAGCCCAGACTTGCATCTTCCCATATGTAGAAAAGCGCTAAATTCACGAACTTGAGATATCTATTTTTCTCTAATTAATAGGATTCTCCTGTTGGAATAACAATATTCTAACTACCTGGTCTTTGTTGCAAAAACCTATATATCCGAGCCTCCCCCTCCCCTCTTTGGAACAGTCCTCCAGAGCAATCTGAGAGCCTGTCTTCTGTGCTTAAGTACTTAGGTTGTCCATTGACTAAAACATAATTCTCAGTTTTTAGGGTGTACATTTTTTTCAGTCGACAACTGAGAAGGAAGGACCAGCTTCTCCGCGGTTCCCCAGCGCCATCCGTCACCTCTTGGAGCTGACAGGGCAGGTGGGGAGCGAGTGGAGTGCGGGAGAACAGTTGGCCAAGGGCAAAGAGCTGGGGGCTTTGAAAACCTGTCTCCAACAGCCAAGCAACCTTGACCTCCGTTTGCCTCACCTGTGAATGGGAACATGTTATCCAGCCCGCCCTGCACAGTGCCCAGGATGAGGTCCATGTCCCGGGGCTTCCCCTGCCATCAGCCACTCTGCAACTCTAAAGCTCTCTCAGTTCCTCAAACGATGCACCCTCCTGCTCCCCACCTGCCTCCCCATAACTGCAAAAGCCTCCCAGAGATCTTTCCCTTTGCCTGGTCAATCTTCCCTCCCCATTGACTCTCAGCCAACTTGTATCCATCCTCCGGGCCCCTTTGCAGGGATCACCTCCTCCAGGGTGTCTTCCCTGACTGCCCAGTCCAGGTGCAGTCCTCTGCTGTGGGCCCTGGACGCCCCTCTGGGAGCACTTGTACTCTGATGAGTCATCATCTCGTGTTTGTGACTTCCTCACTGGTCCCTGTGCCAGAGGGCAGGGGTGGGTCGGTTTTGTCACAGATATCACCTGCAGCACCTCACAAGGTGCCAGGGACAGGCTCTTCTAAGTACACATTTGTTGAAATAATAATATAATAAAAAAAGAAATCAAAAGAACGTCATTTCCTCCCCTCTTGGGCTCTACTGTGACAACGCCCAGAGACAAGGACCGTCCTTGGCACAAGAATGAAACCTCAGGCCTTTGATTACAATTCGACGAAAGTATGTATTAGTCTTATTATAGCTGAAAAGTTGAAGGCATCCCCTCTTAGACTGAGTCCTCACTGAACAAACTTCCAAATCTACTCGTGTTCCCGGCTCCTGGCCCAGCAGATGGTGGGGTCCCTGCCATGGCCCGGCTAACCCACTGGCATGTTGACATCTCTCTGGATCCTCCCGCCCCAAACCCGGGGGCCAGCTGGCCTGCCCAGAGCAGGAAGGTGGCGCCCAGCCCTCCTCACGGGGAGGGTAGGTATACTGTTTTCCTTCAGCCGGCTTTGGCCAGCTCCTGGGTGGAATCAGGGAAGGAGGGAGGGAGGGAGGGAGGGTGGAGGACCAGGCAGGCAGAAGACTGGGGCCAGCACCCTCAGATTTGTGGTGACTGTGGTTAAACCGGTGTCTCCAGAGAAACATGAAGGGGCCCTAAAAACTGGGGCAAGCCCTGCTTTCTTCTGCAGACGGGAGGCCCGGGAAGGGGCGGGAAGTTTGCTGGAGGCTGCTCCTCCCCTCTTTTCTTTGAAGCTCAGCTCTGTCTCCATTCAAGCAAGAAGAGGGGATAGAAGGTTTCAAATTCAGGAAATCCCTTTCCGCCTCTGCACCTGTGTGCTGCTCCTGGTCACCCAGCTGCGGGTACCACCCATCCATCCAACAAATAGTTTCTGACTGTCTGCTCTATGCCAGGGCTTCCCAGGTGGCATAGTAGTAAAGAATCTGCTTGCTAATGCAGGAGACGCAAGAGATGCAGGTTCAATCCCTGGGGTCGGGAAGATCCCCTGGAGTAGGAAATGGAAACCCACTCCATTGCTGGGACAGAGGAGCCTGATGGGCTATAGTTTAGGGGTCACAAAGAGTCAGACGTGACTTAGCGACTGAGTATGCACACATACTGTATTGCCAGGCACCATCTTGGCTGCTGAAGTTAGAACCACAAACCAAAAGTTCCTGCATTGGGGGGGAGGGTGCTTCCATTTCAGACAGTAATTAAGGAATACCTTTTATGCTAGTCTACAGCTATTTCCCCATCTAGACCGTAGTCTCACTGAGAGAAGGAATAGACCCATTTCATCTCTAGATTCTCCGGGGTGACTAGTACAGAGCCTGAATTTTAGCTTGGCAGCCACTGAAAGAGGCCTCAGTGGGATTTGTCCCCAAGCCCAGGAGCCCCTGTCTTGCACGTGCAGGCTCTGGCGGTACCTACAGGAATGCAGTGGGCAGCCAGCAGCTGATCTCCAGCCACACACCCGGTAAGCTGGCTTCACGTTTTCATCCATTCTCAAAAGGAAATTCATCACTGGGGGTTCTTCCAGTCATGAGGGGGTGGGCTGCAGTCAGGCATGGTTTTTGGTATCAGATACAGGAAAATTAACACTGCGAGCACCACAACAGATCAAAGCCATGGATCAAAGGTGTGAATCAGACAAGCACCACCACAGAAGTTCGGTATCAGTTTAGAATCGCCAAGCGGGGAGGTTACTGCAACCACCAGGCCAGAGGGAAACATGAGCAGTGAGCGTGCAGAGGTCTGCAGGGCCCACGTGGGAAGCAAAGGGCTTGGCAGGTCATCAGGGCTCAGGGAAACATAACTGGTACCAGTCACCGAGGCTCCTGGCAGCTTGAGAGCCAGCGCCCTTACCCAATGCGTACGTGGGGCCTGAGAGGCCACGGTCCTCGCTGATGGCAAGGAAGGGAGAAACCACCTGCTTCACCAGCTCCTCCAGCTGCAAATAACCCTCACTTGGGCCTGTGGGCTCGTGAACACTCTGGAAATAAACACCCAAGAGAGACAGAGGTCAGTCCAAGTCACCATGGCCAGCAGATTCTGGCTGCCCTCCCACTACATTCAAGGCAGGCTGTATCCTTGTGGCTGAATGAAGGAAACCCAGTCTTGGAGCCCCAGGCACTGGTCCTGGGTGGTGGTGATCAGAACTGTGCATGGAGCGCACCCTGGCCTCTGCGGTGGGATCCTGTCCCAAAGCAGGGCCAGCGGGACTGTCCCCACCCCAGCTCCAGGGCTGAGGTCTGACTGGTCCCAACCACAGCCAGCTCACCCTCTCCACCACAGTAACTGTTCCACACCAGGCACACAGGAGCTTTATAGAAGCACTTTATATGTTTCATAGCACCTGCCAACAACACTCACCACCCCCCCTTTCAAACACAAGGAAAGTTAAGACTCAGAAAGCTTATGTAACTTGCCCAGGAAAATACAGCTGGTAAGCGGCCAAAACCCGGGACTGGCACACAAGCTGCCTGGCTCTGAGCCCATTTTACTGCTCCTTGTTAACAGGCTAGAAAAGAAAGGGGGAGAGAATCTGGAAAAGACCAGAATGGTAGAAGAAAGGGAGCATCACTGTGGACTAGACACACATTTAGTACCAAGATGAAGGGTCAGTTCAAAAGGACAGGAGTCCTTGGAGCTACAAGGAGCTAGAAAGTCATTGAGGTTTTCTAGAAAACCAGCTAACTCTGAAGGAATTCAATTTCTTACTGGAAAGGTGTGGAAGCCATGTGTTTGTGTGGAGGGTGTGCAAGAGAGCAAGGCTTTTGTGAACGCTGTGCTCAGCCCAAAGGGCCAGCTGTCAAAATCTCAAAGCAGAATAGATTTTAAATCACTCTCGTTTGAAAAGAGAAAACTCTCCCCTGCACTGGAGTTTAGGAGCTGGGGCCAAGAAGCAGGAGGGGCCAGTCCTACAGGTTGGATGGAGACCCCTGGGTGAAGTGCAAGCTCCAAGGAAACTGGCTGATGTGGTAGCTTGTCAGCTCCATCACAGTGAGATGGAGGGCTGGGGGCAGTGGGAGGGAGGGGTGGCTTACTGAAACCAAAAGGAAGGCCGAGGAGGGGGCTATGAGGCAGAAGACTTGGCGGTCAGGACCAGGAAGGGGTCAGAATTGATGCAGAGGAAATGGGAGTGGGGTGGTCTGGCACTTGAGGGGGCTGCTAATGGGAGAAGACCTGAGGGTTTTTCATGTCCCTCAGCAATAGCAGAAGCACTGGGAAAGGCCAGCAAGATGCCTCGCTTGATACTCAACAAGGACCTACTGTAGGGCACAGGGAACTTTACTCAGTACTCTGTAATAACCTACATGAGAAACTGACCTGAAACATAAGAGAGTCATGTACATGTGTAACTGAATCACTCTGCAGTACCCCTGAAAGTAACACAACACTATAAATCAACTGTACTGCAATATGAAACAAAAATTAAAAATAACAAAAACAGGTGGAATTTCAGAACTACCAAAATGTGTACTGTGCTAAGTCACTCAGTCGTGTTCGACTCTGCAAACCATGGATTGTAGCCTGCAGGCTTCTCTGCCATAGAATCCTCTGGGCCAAGAATACTGGAATGGGTTGCGATTTCCTTCTCCAAGGGATCTTCCCAACCTAGGGATCAAACCTGGGTCTCCTGGGTCTCCTGCCTGGGCAGGTGGTTTCTTTACTACTAGCAATACAGTGGCGCCCCACTCCAGTCCTCTTGCCTGGAAAATCCCATGGATGGAGGAGCCTGGTAGGCTGCAGTCCATGGGGTCACTAAGAGTCGGACACGACTGAGAGACTTCACTTTCACTTTTCACTTTCATGCATTGGAGAAGGAAATGGCAACCCACTCCAGCATTCTTGCCTGGAGAATCCCAGGGACGGGGGAGCCTGGTGGGCTGCCGTCTATGGGGTCCCACAGAGTTGGACACGACTGAAGTGACTTAGCAGCAGCAGCAGCAGCAGCAATATAGTATTACAAAAACTTTTCTTTGTTAAAAAAAAAAGTAACTATCACAACTACCTACAGAATTACATGTTGAGAAAAGAAAGGCTTCACTTAGAAAGGCACACAATACTCTACACAAGGGTAAGGGGATCCTCAGGGGGCAGAAGGGAGAGGGGAGCCTTATTCATGCTCCCAGAGACCCACCCGCAGCTTCAAAAGTAGAGCGGTTTCAGACCCAAAACCACCTTGGTTGGGTTTCAGAGCTGAGGACACTTTTATCTCATTTTTTTCACACCTTGATATTTCTCATCTGCCTTCTCCCCACAAGACTCTTCCGCTCTATGATTCCTAAGCGCTAAACAAGAGAGGGATGCAGAGCGAGGAGAAGAGGCAAGAAGTGGGAGGAAAATTCTGAGCTGCATGGTTTTCTCCCTGGGCAGAGAACCAGACTTGCACACAGCCCTCTGGGAAGGAGCTGCCCTTGGCTTGGCTGCTGCGCTGGCTATGTATTTGCAAGGCTCAGCACAAGATGAAAATGTGGGGTCCCTTGTTCAAAAACTAAGAATTTCCAGATGGTGATGAAAAGTGAAAGTGTTAGTCTCTCAGTCGTGTCTGACTCTTTGCGACCCTATGGACTGTAGCCCGCCAGGCTCCTCTGTCCATGGGATTGTCCCGTCAAGAATACTGGAGCAGGCAGCCATTCCCTTCTCCAGGGGCTCTTCCCAACCCAGAGATGGAACCCGGGTCTCCTGCATTGCAGGCAGATTCTTTACCATCTGAGCCATCAGCGAAGAGAATTAAACCCAGCATGGGATCCTGCTGGTGGCGGGGAGCGGGGAAGGACCCTGAGGCACTGGCCAGCAGGGGGCACACCAGCTTGATTGGGCGGATCCCCTCAGAAGGGACCATTCTGGCACAGTCTCAGACCTGCCTGCGCCTGCCAGGGAGAACCAGGTCTCCAGGGTGGTCAAAGTCTCTGGTTCAGCCTCTTCCTGGACAGCCTAAGGATAGGACCTCACAACCCATGGGAGGAAAGGTTGAGCCCCTTGTATGTTTTGAGGAGGAAGGGGTTGGTTCAGGGCCATTTTGGAAATGCACTGGGAAAGAGAAATGGCTCTTCTCTCTGTGGGAGAGGTAGGCAGGGAAAAACCAGCCCTAGATCTCTTGCCGCTGTGGACAGTGGGGGCCAGGCAGAGAAAACAGCAGTTCTAGCTACTGGGGCTCAGCTTCCCTGCGGCAGGGATGGTCTGAGGGCAGTACAACCTGCACGTTTCCTTTAGATTCAGAAGCTGCCACCCCTGCCACCCAGAGTTAGTCCTGGGCTGGGGAAAGACCCGCCTTTGCCATTGTCACACCCCCAGCCTCTGGCTTCCTGGCTCCTAGAGGGTAGAAGAACGTGTCCCAGGAGGGCCTCAGGGAAATGATGTCAAATTCCCCTTGTTAAAGGGACCATCACTTGTGGGGCAGCTCCAAGTGTCCTGGGAGACGGCGGGAGGAGAGGGACCTTGACAGTGCTCGCTGCACGCACAGCAAATGGACAAAGGAGCTGGAACGTGCCCAGTGACACTAGAGGACACGGAACCGAGCCAGGGTGCTCCAGCCACAGGGGCCCTCACCCACCCCCGGTCATGCTCCGTCGCGCCTCACCTGCAGGACGAGCAACATCTGGACGATGGACGAGGGCGGCTGGGGCTGCGCCAGCAGCAGCAAATCCTCCAGCTTCACCTTCAGCAGCACCAGGTCGCGGAAGCCCAGCAGGGAAATCTGGCGGATGGTCAGCTCCTGGCCCTGGAGGGACAGAAGAGGCAGCGGTGGGAGGTGAGAGCGTGTGGGACCTGCCACCAACCACATGGGGCCGGGGCCACGATCGGAGGGGTGGGACCAGCACCTCCAAGGCCCAGGGGGGCTGTCGAAGAGTAGAATATTTGACGCCTGTTCCTTCAGAATGAAAGCTTTGTTTAAGATAAGGTATGACTCATGGGTTTGAAAAGATCCATGCACCCTAATATTCATAGCAGTGTTATTTACAATAGCTGCGACATGGAAACAAGCTAAATGGCCACAGGCAGGTGGCTGGATAAAGAAGATGTGTACACACACACACAACGGAATACTACTCAGCCAGAACAAGAATGGAATTTTGCCATTTGCAACAACAAGGATAAATCTGGAGGGTATTTATGCTAGGTGAAATCAGTCAGAGAGATAAAGACAAATGCTGTACTTTATCACTTACAAAACAAACTAATGAATATAACAAAACAGAAACAGACTCAGAGAATAAACTAGTGGTTACTAGTGAGGAGAGGGAAGGGGGCAGGGGTAACATACGGGTAGATGATGAACAGGTACAAGCTACTAGGTATAAAGTAAATAAGCTACAAGGATATATTGTACAGCACAGGGAATATGGCCAATATCTTACAATAACTTCAAATGGAGTGCACTCTATAGAAACACTGAATCACTGTGTTGTAAACTAATATTGTATCATTGTAAATTAATACTGTAAATCAATTATACGTCAATAAAAAAAGTAAATGCTGAAATGCTCAATCTGCTTAAATGACCCAAAGGTGATACAAGACACATATATTGAGGGTCGTGCTGTGCCGTGAGTGGTCAGGAAGGAGGAAGAGGAGGAGAAACAAGAGGAAAGATAGCGCCTCCCTACACTCAAAGCTGTGTCCTCAGCTTCATCCATTAAATATTTGTGCACCTATCATATGCCAGGCAAAGAAGGAAATACAGGACCTGTTAAGACTCTTCTGCAAACACAGGTAACATAGGAAGAAAAATCACTGAAGATGTAGAAGAAAATGACTTGTTCAACCACGTAGATAGCGGCTGAGGATGAAAATAGTGACTGATGATCGTAAGAGCTGATCCTCATGTTAGTAAGGCTAAGTAAGACCCTTATCTCTGACCATATGCTGGGCTTGATTCTCAATATGCTAGATATAAATGGCACATTTAATCCTCATGACTGCTTTTGAGATAGATACTGTAATAAAACCCAATCCACAGAAGAAAAACCCTATACCCAGACTGACAGGAATTTACTCAAGGTAGAGCTGGATCTCAAAGATAAACTATTTGATTCTAGAGCTCCTAAAGCCTCCCAAAACAGAAAGGGAAAGGAGGGCCCATTCCCAGACTCTCCTTTGCACACATGTACACAGCACATATGCCCAATTGGCTGGTCTTAGAGAATATGAGATATGGTATCCTCCCAAAGAGTTGTAGCCTCCCATTCCTCAAGTTGGCCAAGGTTGAGGAAATACTGCACTTCCTATAACTCCTCAGGGTTTACAAAAACACGGGCAAGAGTGGTTTTGCCATTCTCACAGCCCCCTACTCTCCAGTCCCAAAGAGATACACCCCACCCACACCTCACAAGCTCAGTTTAACCAGTCCTTCTCTTAAAATTTTTTTCTTTAGTTCTAAGTTTTTTTTCTTTCTTTCTTTCTTTTTTTTTTTGGCTGCTTGAAACAAGCAGGATCTTAGTTCCCTGACCAGAGATCGAACCCATACCCCTGCAGTGGAGGCATAGAGTCTTAACCACAAACCACCAGGGAAATCCCTAACCACTCCTTCGTGACTGCCTTCCCCGGCCACTGCCAATGGCGGTGGTCCCCCCACCTTTCCCAAGGTCCTACAATTTCTATTCTTTGCACCACATCTTAGCACTCATCACTGATTGCCTGTCTCATAGGTGTCTATGCCCTTGCTTCTTCTCCAGGACCCCATTCACTCTATAAGGTAGAAAGAGGCAGGCAAGTTTCCACACTCAAAAACCTTTATCCAGTGAGGAAGCAGGTCTCACATAGACACTTACGCAGCAAGTTAGTGTCTAGACTAACAGACACCCCGAGGGTGTTATTACCAGTAGTGAGAGCCCAGGGGTTCTCCAAGTGGGGTATCTGCATCAGAAGCAGCACTTGGGAAATTGTGGGCGGGAGAGGTAGATGGGGCAACAGCATATGTTGCCACATCTTGCAGTTTTTCTTTTTTTTTTTTGACACAGTAACAGATTTTATTTTCCTGGGCTCCAAAATCACTGTGGACAGTGACTGCAGCCATGAAATTAAAAGATACTTGCTCCGCAGTTCTTCTTTTAAAAAAAAAATTTTTTTTTTTTACTTAATTATTTAGCTGCTCTGGGTCTTAGTTACAGCATGCACAATCTTCACTCTTCATTGCTGCATGCAGGGATCGTTAGCTGTGGCATGTGAATACTTAGTTGCGGCATGAGGGATCTAGTTCCCTGACCAGGGACTGTATCCTGGCCCCCCACATTAGGAGCATGGAGTCTTAGCCTCTGGACTACCAAGGAAGTCCCAGATCTCACAGTTTTTTAAGAGAAGCAGGACAGTGTCATCCTCAGATCCACACAACTGGGCTCCTGCCTGAATCTGGGGCTAAGGGAGCCCTTCTTGACCCTCTAATACCAGAGCCAAGCCCCTCAGCTTCCTCACTTCCCACTCTAACTCCATCTAGTGGGGAATTCCCTGGCAGTCCAATGAGTAAGTCTCTGAGCTTCCACTGCAGGGGGCGAGGGTTTGATCCCTGGTCCCCTGGTCAAGGAATTAAGATCCTGCATGTCTTGAGGCACGGTCAAAAAAAGAAAATACCCATCTGGGTATCTCTATCTGGGAATTCCCTGCCTACACAGTCCTAAGAGGGACCTACGTCTATACCCCTTCTCCACTAGGGCTGCCAAATAAACCAGAGGCTGTCCAGTTACATTTGAATAACTTTCTAGTATAAGTACGTCCCAAATATTGCATTGTTCATTGTTCACCTGAAATTTAACTCAGCATCCTGCAGGTCAATTTGCGTTATCTGGCAATCCTGCCTCCCAGGCGTGTCATCTTAAGACCCACTGCTGGCCAAGGAGTGAGTATTGCACCAAAGGGAAAAGTCTATAGACTCAGAGGGTGAGCCATCCAAAGAAAGGCTATAAATCCTCTCGTGGGGCGCAGCGGGGAGCCAAGGATGGGATGAAAAGAGCAGTGGGCTGCAGTCCACACGCTTCTACTGGAATTGTTAGGGGCAAACTGGAATTGGAAAATGGGACTCTAAAGGTATAATCTCCTGATTTTAAAATATTTGACATATATTTTAAAAAATCCAGAATTCCTTTAAAACAGCATTCAGAGCAAACAAAGCCCGTGGGCCCTTACCTCTTCCTACCAATGGCTTCACATCTAATCTAACCTGATTACATGCGAAGCCTTAACCCCAATGGGAAGAGCTACTGTGAGCACACAGCAACGGAAGCGTATGACAGACACGTACACTTTGGAGAAGAACATCTATTGGTTAGTCTGCCTGAGGGCGTGTCCCTTCTGACCAACCCTGTTCTCGGCCCCTGCAGGAGGGAAGAACATCTATTGGTTAGTCTGCCTGAGGGCGCGTCCCTTCTGACCAACCCTGTTCTCGGCCCCTGCAGGAGGGAAGAGGGTAGAAATGAGCTGAGCTCGCGGAATAAGCAGCAGAAGACAGGCTGTTGTCTCCTGCTCTAAACTCGTCATTCCGCAGGAGATGAAACGCAGCCAAGCTCAGAGACGGGAACCGAGTTTGCCCATACTCAACTACGGATTCCCAGTCCGCAGTTCTTTCTGCTACATCATGGGCCTTCTCGTCTTCAGGAAATCACTTATAGAGAGCAAGGAACACTACTCCTTTCCCAGAATTTGGGAGTCACAGGAAACTTGCCAGACAACTGTGCGTCAAAGAAAGTGGGGAGGGGAAAAAAGGAAAGAAAAGGGGAAAAAGTCTCCTTCCCCCATCTTCCCTTACTTCTGAAAAGTAAGAAGCAACAAACCACTCTAAGAAGATACAGACATACTCAAAACCAAGAGGGAAAGGAGAGCCTACAAATTGCTATGTATGCAGGCACTGTTTGCTGCTTGAGGTCAGATGCTAAATATAGAACAGAGTGCCCTCCAAAGATGGCCGAGGTCCTAATCCAACTCAGGCAGGCAGTGCCCAGGCTCCTGGCTTTCCCCCATTCGCTGGCAGGCCCCAGGGGGACACCAGTCAAGGAGTAAGACAGACTTCCCAGGCCGGCAGGAGGTCGTTCCCCAGTGAGACTGACCTGAACTGGATAGAATATGGCCTGCAGGGTGGGGAGAGTCTCAGTGAAGAAGTGGTCCCAGACTTCAGCCAGAACCTCAATGCGATTTTCACCTACATGAGGGCGAGAAGATGGGAGGGGAGAAAGAAAGAAAAGAATGTGGTCATTACTCACAGGAGTGGTTGGGAGGCAGTTCCTAGTCAAATGGAGCACAGGCGGGGATGTTCTGGGGGAAAGCTCATAACCTACATTGGTTCTCTAAGTGACTACAGCAAACATGGAATTGGATGGGAAGATGATCAAGAATATGCAAATATGCCTTCTCTCCCTTCATCCACAAAAGGGAGCTGAATTTTGAAAAGCACATAATAATTATAGTCATCATGAGAATGGTTACAACATGATCAGGCCCTGTGCTAGACTATTTATCTATAGGCAGTCTCATGAACGGACGCTATTACCCTGCTTTACAGCTCAGACGTGCCAGGTATCTGGGCTCAAAGGAACACAGGTAGAAGACCAAGCTGGGGTTCCAGAACCCATGTTCTTGTCAATAGAATCCAGCAAGATCAAGTGCACAGTTATATATTATCTTTTTCTTTTTTTTTTTGCAATCACTAAGACCCTGGTTTTTCAGTCTCGATTTGAGCTATCACTTGAGAAAGATGGAAAGAGGACTTAGAAACTATCACTTCCACCCACTGTAACCGGAAGGGCATTACTCTCTGAATGGTCACCTGCAAAACACAGCCACCTCCTGACGCCGTGTCTATCCACACCCCTGGGATCAGGAAGCCCGAGTCCTGGCCAAGTGCGTCCCCCAGGCTAGCTGGACACAGATCACCCAACACCGGAAGGCTGTTTGAGGAACTTTGCACCTGCAGGAAAGGCGGGCACTGGCCGAGGGGAGTCTGCACGGCGGCTGCTGTTTAGTGACGTAGATAACAGAGCTGACTGGGAACTGTCTCTGCCCAGCTGAGGCAGGGAAACTGGGTCGGCCAAGATTAGACACTGAGAGATGCGTCTGGCAACACGTTGCCAGATCCACTGAACAGATCTTGAAAGATTCACTTAGCGATGTCCATCTATTAGTTTAACGGACAACAAAAGCAGTGGCTGGGAGAGAGAACAGAATGAAGCCATGACTTTAGCTGGCAGGACCAAAGATGTGCCGATTTTAAAAGGTCAGAGTGAAATACACCAGAATGCAAATCCATAACACCCTCTACTCTCCTTTGTAATTAGCCAAGAACTAATTACACTCTGTTGGAATCACTCATTCACTTCTCTGTCTCCTCCACTAGAACGGGAATAAAGGCACCGGCCTTGTCTTCCTGCTCACCTTTCTATTTCCAGTGCTTAGCATGGTGCCAGACGCATTGGTAATTCACTGTTTGGAAATCTTTGATTGAATGAATGGGAAGTATTGAGTGTACAGGTTTCTGTAAATGCCAGGGCTGGTGAGTGGGAGGAGGTTACCTTTTAACCCAAATATGGGACAGGACAGGGAAGGAGGACTTAACAGTCAGCTCCAACATTTTCCTTTGCTCTTAGATAAAGAAAACCACACCATGGCAACCCGGCTGGGGAGAGTCTGTTTCCTGCTTCTGTATCTTCATCCTCTTCTGAATTCCCCTTCTACATGAATTTTATTTTAGTCCCTTATACTCACCATCCTCCCTCCACGCCACAGGGCTTTTGCACATGCTAGTTCCTTTGTCAAGACTATTCTCTGCCTTCTCTCTTTGCCTAACCTACATCTGTTTATCTTCATAAACTGATGAAGTGTTCATCTTCTTCATAGCTTCAACTCTAGCATCACTTCCACAGGAAAGTCTCCCCCATTGGTCAAACTCCCCTGTTATGGATTGTATTGTTAGTACTTGTCTCAGTTATGGTTTTATATTTGGTGGTGATTTGATTAATACATGTCTCCACTACCAGGTTGTGAGCACCTTCAAGACTCGTAATCCTATGAAGTTTTGCTCATCACTGTGTTCTTGGCACCTAGCAAAGTACCTGGTATAGTAGATAATCAATAAATGTCTGAATGAATCAATCAGTCACCATCCTCTTTTCAAAGGCAGGTTTGCTAGTTCACTGCAGGGAGGAGCCAGGAAATCAAGAGGACAGTCTGAAACATTAGGTCATGCTGGTGCCTAAAACCAACGTGGACCCCAACACTTGGACAGAATGTCTCAAAGGAGAAAAGGCTGTGCCAGCTCCTTTACTGACGGCCCTTACCCTGAGCCTTCCATCACAGAGACAAGCAGAGGCCCTGCCGACTAAAAGGATGGGACAGAAAAGCCTGCTGCTCAGTGCTGCTCCTACTTTCTCCCCTTCAGGTCCCAGACGGAATACTCATGGCACATGCAGTCATCATTCAACCCGGCGACAGGAAGGTGCCTCTCCTGGGAACCTGGGTCTAATTGTCGGCTATAAACTTCAGAGAGGAATGGAGATTTTGGAAAGTGTTCAGAGAAGAACATCAGAGAGACAAGCTAAACAGAGTAGCCTGGGGAGGAAAGAGTTAATGGGAGGAGGTAACTCCACCTTCAAGAACAGCCCCCAAGTCGAGGGCTTAGTCCTCTACAAAGATGAAAGGGGTCTGCATGGAAGCTTCTATTAAAAACTATCTTATTTAAAACTGTCCTCTAATTTCCACAGAGGTTTAGATCACCAGAGGTATACAGAATAAGTCTGAGAAATTCTTCCAAGGTCACTAAAGCTCTAGAAAAGATTACTGATACTAACAAGGCATATTCTGCCGACAAAAGAGAACCACAGAGCTAGGGGCTGCCTCTGTCCCTTCTGCAGCCATCAGTCAGGATGGACGAGTACAAGCCAGATTGATAAAGTACAGGTTATTCAATGATGGATTCCAAACTTGATTTTATAGCAAAACACTTTCATCCAAATAAAATCTTTCTTGGAGTTATAACATACAAAATTAACATGCAGAGATGTTCTGGTTGAAGATGTAAGAGCGCCTTCACTGTTCAGAAAGGACCCTGCCACCTAACCCCCAGGACAAGAAGGGACCCAACAAGAACATCCTGGCCCACTGCCCTCCAGCCGCACTTTGGAGCAGAAACACAGACACTTGGATGCCCTTTTTTCTCCTGTCAAGCTCTGTGCCTGAATTTTCACTCTGAATGTAGCTATGTTGAGTGTCACCCAGGCGAGAGACCATCAACTTTCCCTTTTAAGGGCCCTTGAATCTCTGGTTTTGCTCAGGATCTTGTTCTAACTCTGGTTATCCACATTTCCAGGAGCATGAAATAACTCTCCAAATGACTTACAATGTGGTCAAAGACCTGGAAGCCACCCACCTTTCATGCCTGGGTACTAGCCTCACTCCAAAATGCAAAAAGGCCATGAAGCTCTCAATGTAATTGCATTTGAGGGAAACAAGGCTGTAGGTTCAGTCAACTCTTGAGTAGACAGGTTAATTTGGAACCTCTGGTTTTGCAAAGTTTTGGTGAGCACTCACTGTGTGCCGGGCCCTGGGACTTTCCAGGGTCAGTTTCTCATTTTTCTTTCTACTTTGTCTTTCTAGAAGACACGACACTGTACACAAGTGTCTTTCCCAGAGAAGGGGAAGAGAAAAAGGGATGGTCTGCTGCCTAATGCGTCTGAATCTAGAAGTAAACTTGACCAACAGATAGAAGTCTCAAGGCTGGAGTAGGAAAAAAAAAAGGAACCAGTGTGCATACCTACTATGTGCTAAGGACAGCGCTATGCTGGTTCTACTCCTTACATCCCCTATAATCCCTAGCTCCATTTTATCATTTTAAAAATTATTGGAAAAATCAAGACTCAAAGAGGCGAGAAACTCACCAAAATTCACCCAAGAAGTAGGTGGCAAGCTACAGTCAGGATCCACGTTGACGGGAGCTGACAGTAATCATCAGTGGAGCCAAAGGGTCTATCGGCCAGCTCTTGCCTTCATCCCAGCTCCCAGCTCCATTCAATGCCTTTCTATCAGTTAGACTCTAGAATCTTCTAAGGCTGGGAAAATGTTCTTTTGCTTCTTAAATCTTACCCCACTGAGTGGATGCCTGCTTAGTCTCCCTCAAATGAGTGGACCACCTGACAGATACAACCTCAAGAAACAGTGAAAGTCTGCTCAGTCATGTCTGACTCTTTGTGACCCCATAGACTGCAGCCTGCCAGGCTCCTCTGTCCATGGAATTCTCCAGGCCAGAATACTGGAGTGGGTAGCTGTTCCCTTCTCCAGGGGATCTTCCCAATGCAGGGATCAAACCCAGGTCTCCCACATTGCAGGTGGATTCTTCACCATCTGAGCCACCAGGGAAGCCCTGAGAAACGTACAAAGGTCAATAGGAAATAGCCTGGATCAGACCAGAGGGAACAGGATCCATAATATAATGTATTCCTTCAAATGTGACCCCTGGCAGCATCTTGTGAAACCCAGCCCTTAACGGGGTCTCCCAAGAGGCCACCCTAATTCCCCCTCATTTCTCAAACAGTCTGACTTGCACCGCCAGGAGTGGCTGACTCAAACTGAAACGCTGCAGCCTAGCTGGAGAAGAGGCGGCTGGGGTGACTCACGTGCTTGGAGCCTGCCTCTCTCAGACAGACTCACTTCAGCTGTCCAAGCATCAAAGGCTGAGTCAGAGTTCCCGCCAGACGGGGGCTGCCTTGTACTTGCCTTCACACAGCTTGATCTTCTCCTCCACGAACAGCAGTCCTTTTGCTAGAAGCTGGTTCTGCCGGAAGAGAACAGAGGACAGAGACTTCACTGCGTGACTAGCCCTTGTCCACTCCAGGCGGGTGAAGGCGTGGAGTTCTAGGCACTTGGACACTGTCATGCCTCCAGGCTAAAGACGCCTTCGGTCCTCTAGGAAGGCTGAGGCTTCGGGAGGAGTCAGTGAGGCAGCCCGTCACAGAGGAAGGAGACGAAAGCCAAACCCAACCAGCATTGCCATCTCTCCAACCAGGGAAGACGTGACCACAAGCTTGGCTGGACTGTCTGGAAGGACTAGGGTGGACACCCAGTGTCCTTTGAGCCCTTCATATAAACTCAGAAAGTGGAGCGTGGAGGCAGTAGGAAATTATGCAGAAATGATAGACTTTTTATAGAAGCTGACGATTTCTCAAGCTCGCATGAAAGAGACTGCCTGCAAAATTTTAAGCAGCAGTGAGGATGTGTCCCTCAGTGAGTGTGTGCATGAGAGAGCTGTGGGAAGACAGGGTAAGATGAAGTCCCTTTGCAAATGCAACGAACAACTGTTGGGTGTTTTGCATATATCACAGGATATTTATTCTTCGTCTCATCTAATTCTGACCTTCCCAATAATCTGATCGAGTTGGTGCTATTACCCCCTGACTTTACTGATAGTCAGGGTAGACTTGCCCACAGGAGACAGACTCAATCTTCCTGGATCCACCAGCCATGTTCTACTCTGCCTTGCTGCCTTCCAGCAGGTCTTCCCACCCAGATCCCCTTCTTCCCTCAAAAGGGTACAGCTGGTCCCACACAACACAGGCAGCTTTTCCAAAGGTCACAGAATCTCAGAGATGCCTCACCACTTACCTCACATCTTTAGATGATCAAAGGCCTATGCTTATGGCATGGGGGATTCACAGTGGTATACATCCTATCAAAAACCTATGCATTTCTTGGTCTTCTCTTTTAGAAAACCCTGAAAACCCTGTTACCACGATGGTGAGAGCGTACATGGCAGAGAGGAAAGATCAGACAGGTGTTCAAGTCCAGCTCAGCCACTTTCTAGCTGTGTGATCTTGGGCTTCCTTTCCTGAGTCCTGAGCCCCCCATCTGTAAAATAGCATCACACCAGCAATATCATAAAGTTCTTATAATAATCATTATAAATATACACACAGGAACTTCCCTGGTGGGCCAGTGGTTAAGACTCCGAGCTGCCAATGCAGTGGGCGTGGGTTCAATCCCTGGTTGGGGAACTAAGATTCCACATGATGTGCGGCACAGCCAAAAGATTAAATACACACACACATACACACGTACATGCACACACACATACACACAAAGTAATCAGTGGTAATGGGCAGTGACGACAATAGTTGCTCTGTTAGCCCAACTATCTTCACAAAAGGACAGGCGGGTAAAGAGATTCAATAATGAATAGACCTACATCAACATATTAAAGTAGTTTATCAAAGGCACTATCACATTCCTGTGACTAATACATATATATGGAATTTTATAGACCCAATTAAAATTTCCAAGCTATAACCTAATTTGAAAAGTAATTAGCCATCATTTAGTTTCAAGATGAAACCCCAACTCAAAGTTATAGTGACGTCCTATAGGAGTCCACCAACTCTGTTAAAGGGAAAAAGGTCAATTCCTTTCCTAGGAATTACAGAACAGACAAGTAATGAAGGTGAAACTCTGTGTTCTCTACCTTCCACCAAGCACACGAATCCTAGAAGCAAGAAAAACACCACAACACCAAACTGAGATGATCAAAATCAGGGCTTTGTGCCAACTTAGCTGGGCGGGAATGGATGGCACAGGTGTTTCCAGATGTAACCAACCCCATCAAATGGCTCTGAGCAAATGTCCCAATTCAGGCCTGAAGTCTGCCCTGGTCCCTTTCACTGGCCCGGAGGATGGACTTAGGATGTCCCCCGATACTCTGTGCAAGGAGTCCCGATGCCTTGCTCTCCATCACTACCTCCATTGCCAACACGGAGGCTTCTTCCAAAATAACCACAAATCCTCCTCAATTTCAAGTTTCTGAGATTTACCTCCAAATGTACGAGAAACTCCTCCCTGTAATGCAGGTTTCATAATTATGTTCCTGCACTCTAATTATTTACATTTTATAGGCGGGGGGTATTCAAGGCACCGAGAGAAATAAAGGCCTAGTCCAGGTTATATCATGAGTCAATGATAGTCAATATATCCCATGTGTCAGGCTTTTAGGTTCTCAGGGGTGAGGATCATGTAATTTAGGTTACCTGGCTTGGAGAACAATGCTCAAAACATGGTAGAAGCTAACAAATATTCACTGAGTACATATTGCCTGTTTGGATGTTACAGACCATTCTTGCTTTTAAGAAATCAAGATAAGAGAGAGAATGGTTTTAAGAAGAGAGAAAGTGATATAAGTCCCTAAAATTCTAATACACAATAAGCTGTGTGCTCAGTCCTGTCCTACTCATTGCAACCCGATGGACTGTAGCCCACCAGGCTTCTCTGTCCATAGAATTTTCCAAGCATAAATACTGGAATGAGTTGCCATTTCCTACTCCAGGGAATCCTCCTAACCCAGGGATTGAACCCAAGTCTCCTGCATTGGCAGGTGGATTCTTTACCACTGAGCCACCTGGGAAGCCAAAATTCTAATACCCTTAGGCATTTGTACATTTTGCTCTTATTTTACAAATGGCATTTTCTTCCTTTGATGAAAACTACTTTGCATCTTAAGAGACAAACTGTAAAAAGTGGCATAGGCTCTCCTTCCTGCTCTTTTCCAGGTCCTCCCCCTACAAGGAGCCATTTCGGGGACGTTTTTTTTCAAACTAAGGAAGTTATTTGTGTATTATGGAAGAAATGGAAAAGGAAACATTCTTTTTAAATGTCTCATGATACACAGCATAGAAATTCTGTACCTTAGACCAAAATAAGAGTAACAAAAACCTGAGGTGAAAAGGGACCTTCAGAATCATCTAGTCCTTCTCACCTCTCCCCAGCCCTGTGGTCTGAATCAAATGGTCACACATAGTTTCAATAATTTTTTAGTTTGGACCCATTTTCCAGGAAGCTAAAGCACCTTTAAAAGCATCTGAAAGAAAGGTTTTTTTGCTCCTAGGCTTTATAGATTTTGCTCTTATTTTACAGTTGAATAAATTACAGCTAGAAGTACAGTCTCCATCTTTCATTTGGCACGTGCTAAGTGAGTTCGGATCTTTTGGGCCAGCCTGGCCCTCAGCCCCACTTCACTGGAGAATCGCCCGCCACCTACTCGGGGCACCCTGCCCCCTCTTGCATGCTCAAACCCTTTGAACCAGCCTGCATCTCTGGCTGCTCTGATTGGCTGGGTGCCCACCCTCCGCCCCACATGAGTCTCCAATGGAGCCAATCACTTGCTCTCCTGGGAACTGTAATCAACCAGGCCCCCATCAATCCAAAGGGCCCTGTAATCTTATGGTCCCAGTGCTTTGAAAGGGCTTATGCTCTGCAGTTGCCTTCCTCACTTTGTAATATTTTTATTTTTGAATCTCTGTTTTTTAGGAGAAGGCTCACAGGGCAATGGAGCTCACCCCAGGGGCTGGACTTCAGCTCACTTGTGGTCTGTCTCCTACAGCCACCCCAGGAGGGGTTTTTAGGTCCCTGCACCCCAACCCCCGCCCCTCTCCTCTGCCCTGCCCCACCACTGCTGTCATCCTACTCCTAAGGCGATGACAGGGTCACATCCGTGGGCACCCAGGCCCCGGTGCCTTACAGCATCTTGCAGAAAGCCAGGCTGCAGACCTCCCTGCCCTGGGCTGGCAGAGCTCTGGCTCGAGTGCTGGTGACTCAATGGGGGCCTCTTGACCACCCCTGATCTATGTACTGAGACCATGAAGGTTGCTACTTTTAGGGGTCCCCTGTCCACGGTGAGTTGCAGCTGCAGGTCTATGGGAAGGGAAGTGCCTTCCACACCCTGGTGGCAACCACATTTGCATTCTGCACCTGCTAATGACGAAGCCCACCCTGTCTGCTGATCACTTCACCTAAGGACACACCAACTGGACATCTGTGCAGCTTAGAACGGCTGAGACTTAAAGAAAAAAGAAGAGAAAAACAGCCTGGATTCTGAGAGCTATCTTGTCTTTCTAAGCGTCTGTTCCCCCGGTCTCACCTGCCAGTATTCCCAGCCCCAGAGAAACATCTGACTCTAGAAGGTGCCGAGAAAGTGTCTGTACAGGAACAGAGCTGGAGAAGATCCCGACTTTCCTCTTGTCCCACTCCCTGCCCAGTGGCACCAACCCCATCACCCCCCCAACCCAAAGGCTTTGAGCCAAAAAACCAGTTATATTCAATAGCAGCCACCTAGGAAATGGGCCAGTTGTTACTTAATGCAGCCCCCATAAACAGGGAATACATAGCCCTCTAATGAAGTGGCAGAGGATCCAGAAGGAAAGAAAAAAACAGCTGACCTGTGTTTAAGAAGATGCTGAAAATGGGCTGCCAGTGGAAGAACAAGGCTCCAAGGAAAAAAACGCAAAACAAACAAACAAAGGATGTCTGTGGAAAAGTATCCAAAACTATGCACTCTTCAGTGGATTGAAAAGATTGAGCTCATCCTGGGTAATCCTGGAGGGTGGGCAGAAGGAGCTGGGGAGGACAGAGGAGAGAGTGGGCCTGTGACAACTGCAGGGCTGCTCCCTGACCAGGCCAGAAGGACTCAGGAAAATGAAGAACCAGCAAGCCAGGAGCTGGGGTGAATGATGCTCCTCCCACACAAGGCAGGAGCTCTGTAAATGCTTAAGGCTGCTGACCATCCATTGCTTCTAGTGTTTTGGCAGTGATGATGACAGTAAGAGAAAGGAAGACAGTAGGGATAACGCTGGTTTTTACTCTTTGTCAGGCACTGTATCGTACCCTAGAATGCATGATCTCACTTTACCATGGCCACAAATTGATGCCCTTTATACAGAAGAAGAAACTGAGGCTCAAAGAAGTGAAAGGCAAAGTCGCTCTGTCGTGTCTAGCTCTTTGCAACCCCATGGACTA